TCCAGACTCTACACTACGGCCTAAAACGCCCCTTGTAAACAGCTCCTTCCTTTCCAGCCTCTCTGTAACCACCCTCCCTGACTCCTCACACAGCAGTCACAATGGCCAATTTCTGTTCCTTAAACATGCCATTTGAGTCACTCCAGGACCCTTGAACTTCTATAGAATGTTCTTCCACTGGCAAAGATGTGTTTGTCACTGGATAGCTAGTACTTACAGAAGTGCCTGGCACATAGTATGTGCTCAGTATCCATCTGTTTAATGAGTTGATTGATTGATTTACAGTTCTTTACAGTTAAGATTTCATTCATTTAATTTTTATTTTGAATTCACTAGGCATGCTCTCTGTGTAAAGGAACCATGAAATGAAATATTTTTAAATGTGTAGACTCATTCTTAAGTTACAGTTTTAAAAATAGGATTTTTGCCATTTTTCTATAGACAATTACATTACCTCCTTATATAGAAGAAATAGACAATAGATAGATAGATAGATAGATAGATAGATAGATAGATAGATAGAGACAGAAAGGTATCTACATATACATACACACACACACACACACACACACAAATGATCCAAGAATATGCTTTTTATAGAAAAAAAGGTGGCAAACTGAATACATAAAACTTGTTATATTCTCAGATAATGTTAAATATAAAATTGAACCAAAGATCTAGAAATAATTACTACTTTTTCAAACCTAGATACCAAAAGATAAAGAATAGTACCACACCACAAGGCTTCACGATGCAAATGCCTTCTTGTGGCATTGACATTCTTAACACATACCTGTCACCATTCTGAACAGCAAGCTATACAAATCATACAAATATTTATACAGAATTTTTAAACTCCACAAGCTCCTTCCTATAAAGATTTATAAAATATTTTAACAATCATTTATGTGCATTTATTTTCTGAATTTTTCTTGATTTAAAAGAACATAAAAATAACGTTTCCTGAAAACACAGAACTGTTGCATTTTGTAGCCATTACCTTTTTTTTTTTCTTTTTCTTTTCCCTACCCTGGTAAATGCTTCCCACCACTAAGGGTGACAGGTATCTAAAGATCTGTAAATCATGAGTTTAATAAGTATAATAAATCATTTGTTACAGTTATTTTTAAGACTTGACCTTATCGAGTTTTAACTGATATGTTTTGCAGGTACTCCTGCTGTTATATGGAAGCAATATAAGTTTAATATTTAGTTACTGCATCCTAAGGACACTTTGTTTTACTGAAGTATGAAAACTGTGAGTGGAAACAGTGTCCCTAAAATAATTAAACCAAGACTTCAAGCCACAGAATACAACAAAGTTTCTCATTAAGGTTAATCTTTGAAAGTTGAAAATTTAGAGATGAAATTTTCAGGCTTCCATTTTATGGTCAAGTATCTGTTGTTTATGTTCAAATAACTGTCATTACATTTAATAGTAGTAAAATCTGAAAGAAAATTTCCTGACATACCAGTTCTCTTAAAGTTGGATATTATGCACCTTAACTATCTTAAAACAAAATTTAAAATCCACCATTTACACTTTTAAAACTATTGCAATTTTTTTCTAACCTTTTTATAGGAAATAAAGAAAGAGTATCCTGTTGAAAGCCATTCTGACAGGAAAAGCAATGTCAATGTTTAGACACTCATAAATGTGGACCATGAGTGAAATCATAATGAAGTAACATATTGTGCATAGAAAATATCTAAGGACAGAAATATAATATCTATAGAATGCTTCATCAACTGTCATAATCCTAACTAATCACGGCACTTCATCAATCGAGTTCAGAAGCAGATAAAGTGACAGATTCCTAAGTAACACACGTACATGACGCTACTGCTTACAATGTAAAATGGCCACTTGGATACATTTTGTTATGTGTGCTTATGTTGCTCTCTCTTGGTGGAAAAGCAGTACTGTTCAAATTCATTACCACTGATTTTTTTTAAAACTTTTTTTAAAGGTTTTCCTATTAGGAAAACCAGTTTGTTTTGATACAGTATTTTCAGTGCCATTTGCACAAATTAAAGTGCTAATTGCTAACCTTAGAACAGCTAGAACTACTTTAAATAATTCCGAGTTTCTAAATTGATGTGAATTAAAAGCCGGTTGGAATAAACACTGAAAGGTTTTCATTTATGCACTCCCAGGAGATTTCATTTTGTAATAAACAAAGTACCAAACAAAATGAAGAGCAAGAGGGTATTGACTGTAAGAATTCAGCTTTGAAAACCTGATTCACTGAAAGGAGATGAAAACATTGGTAGAGTCTCCTAAGTGCTCCACCCATTTACATATTTGCAGAAGCAAACTATGATTCATTGTTTTGAAGATACTGGATAAACATAAGTGGTGGTAGAAGTTCAAACCTGTAACAGAAAAAGAAATTTCTTACGATAACCGATGTTAAGATGAGAACCAAGGGCACGCTGAAGCTCGCTGGCACCAGTTTGTGAGACTGACTGTATACATATCTTCCCAAATCCATGTTCAGTGACATAATTTTGACAGTTGAAATCTGTCATGGTGAAAGTTTTTACACTACGGAAATTCTCAAACATTGTAAGTAAGGTTTGTCTTTCTTTTTGTGCTTGTTTCATTTTTTATTTTTTGGAGAGATGGTTGTTAAATATTTACCAGCATACCATTAGAAATGCCAAAGAACATGCCAAAAAGAAAATTAAAATTTTTTCCTAATTGCCATAGATCTAAATGCCAAATAAACGACTTCTCAGAGGAAGTCATTACATGCTAAACACTGTGTAAGTAAAAGTACTGCTAAATTTAGTGTAGTACCTTGAAACAAAAGGACGTCTTCTCCTTCTTTTTAATACACTTATAAATCAAACAATATATAGCATTTATGGACAGAATAGAAAATATTCACAATGACCATTTCCTCTCTTCCAAATTGAGTCTTTTCAGAGAGAGGCACTGCAGTTGTATTTCTAACCAGTTCTCTACAGTAGTCATAACAGCCTAGTAACCTTTGGGAAATTGTTAGCTTAGCCAAATACCACACTCAATCGCAGGGAAAAAATGTTTTGTATGCTGCTGTATTTTAAATGTGAGACTGGTAACATAAACATCCAATAGCATGAATGAAGATGTCAAAGAGGGAAGCAAAACGTTTGGTAAAGTCTCGAAAATGATGTTCCATAAGCCAGGCCCCTCATGTGCTCACTGGGTTACACTCACCTTTAGAAGAAGGCAAGACGTGGGAACATTTTGGAGTCTTCATTTCGCTTGGGAGATTTACCCATCAGTTTAGAGAAACAACCCCAGAAAACAACTGCTATAGCATTTAAAACCTTAGGGAAGGACCTCCTATCTAGAAGACATGAGAGTTTAACTTCTGAAACATCATAGTCTTCTGCAGCTCATATATGTCAACAGCATGAAAAAGAACTCATAAGGCATGGTCTGGTAGCTTGTGTTTGCATTAGGTACAGTGCACTGTGTGGGGAGGATTATCAAGAGAAGGTTTGATTGATTATTTCTCCAGTTCTGCCTATGCCCCCAGGACCCACTTGAAGACATTATACTTCAAGGTGACTATTCCGTTGAAGAGAATATAATATCAATTAATTAATGATTACATATAAATAATGGAAAGAGTCTAATTGAGCAATAGTTCAGCTAAATAGCCCCAACAATGTCACCAGCAGTGACAGTGCTGCTGAGCAACTGATGAACAGTACCAGCCATGGAGGGCAGAAACAGAGCCTTTTAAATTCATCTTTTTATGTATTTCCTCATAATGAAAGCCAATAACAAAAGCATGTTTTACATGAAAATATGTTTAAAAAATATAATCATTGAACAGCAAGAGTTATCTGTTTACACAAACACTAAAAAACTCAGAATAAAAAGACAGCTGATGATGTAAGTTTGTTTCCAACTATTGGCAGAAGGACAGAAAGATCATCACATCAGTAACATAGAAAGAACCATCATTCTGCAAAGAACAATCAATGGAAATGCAGTTTTCAATGTTACAAGTCAATAAGCTGAAGATATAAGAGAATCATCTTTAAATATTATATGTAATCAGAATCTGTTGTAAAACCAGATGAAAAATAACTTTGAAAAATCTGTACTAAATCAATGAGGTATTTATTTAATAAAATAAAAACCTGACCTCTGGGTACAATCATTCTGAAGTCTCTATCACAGGGAATGAAAATGAGACTTCCTCTCTTAACTTTAGAAATACACACATCTTTATCACAATCTGATGGATACCATAACTATTGTCTCCATTTCACAGATAAGCAAAATGAGAAACAAGGTATTAAGCAACTTATACAAGGTCAGCCCATTAGTAAGTGAGCAGCTGGGATGAAAACTCTGGCAGTTTAGCTCTTGAGTCCAGCCTCTTAGCAACTACATTACACACCTCTCATCTGGATGAAAGATAAAACTAAAAAATCCAGGAGTCCTTTCTAAGCAAAGAGATTTTAGCTGGATTTTGGAGCTGGTTTTTTTTTTTTCTTTTTGCCTCTTTTTATTATATGCCTTTATTGATAACCTAAAATATTAGATATGCAATTCTGCCTTCTGTTAAGCAAATGACCCATTATACCTAATGTCCATAAGGGCCATTCCATCTGGAAACCAGAGCCAGTCTCTTAATTGTTCCATGCTAATAGTTAATAAAACATTTGATAGAATTCCTTACATATACCTTTGTTCTTTAGCCTTATGACATTTCATAGAATTATTTATTTAGATGACTTTTTCCTGTACTAGAATTTGAACTCATGGAAAGTGAGGATGTTATTAATAATTTGTTTCTCTGTTATCTAGCATAGCAACTGACACACAGCTGACACGCAACACATATTTGTTAAAGTGAAATTACATGCCACAAAGAAAGCAAGCCTGAAAGAAACAACCTTAGCCTGCATATTAAATGCACAGATAATTGCCTGTTTTATACTAAATGCACTTTTTAACAACAATGAAAAGAAATTTTAGACTGTTTCCTGACCTCTATCCTTTCTTCCTCATGTAAAATAGGTCAAAACGTCTGAACGATCCTTTCTCAGACACGTCTCCTGAATGTGGATTATCACCATGACACCCGGGGAAGCCTCTGGTCCTAACCGGCCTGGACTCTGAGCAAGCGTCCTGACTGCTCTCCTGACACCTGCCACTCCCAGGCCCGGCCACTCGCCGTCTCAGCGCCCCCTGGCGGCCCTTCCCACCCCACCCGCCTCGGGACCTCTCAGGCCTCCCGGCTCCGCCGCAGACCTTCCCGCGCAGGCCCACTCGGGTTCCAGCCGCTGCCTGGGACGGCGAAGGGCCGGCCCGGGCGGTTCTTCCCCAGGCCCTCCGGGGCGTCCCGGGGCGTCCCGGGCCGCACCGGCCTGGCCCCATGGCCCCGGGGAAGGCGTTGAGCCAGGGACCACTGTCCGAGCGGCTTGCCCCGGCCCGGCCGGGCGCGGCGCCACATCCCCGCCAGCCCGGGTGGCAGCTCGGGAAGCCTGTTATATGGCGTCTTCCACGTCCATTTTCACACCGACAATGGTGACGCTAAGGAACTTACACCTCGGCTGAGCCCCGCCGCCCACTCCCCGGGCACGGGAGCTGCTCACAGGCCTGGGATCCGCGAGCGGCCGAGCTTCCTTCTCTGCGCGTGGGCAGGTGAGCCAGAGGCTGGCACGTGGGCCTGTGCGTCCCCCAGCCCTGGCCCCGCCGCCTCCGTACCAGGGGAGCAACTGGAGGGCGCCGCTGCCTCTCTCTCCACACGTGCGCACTTGCCTCTAGGAACTGGTGAGTTACTTCAGTTGTATGTGCCTCTCCAGTGCGACACTTCAGTGTGTACACCAACCGGCGTTATTGAATAGGTGAAGATGATTACCACCTGGTAATGCGTTTCGTTAGTCCCATTCTTACAGAGCCTGAAACTCAAGGCTAACCACCACCCTCCCACCCCCACAACCAGACTTAGAATCACAAAGTAGAATCTTTCTGGTCATCGGATTAGTTTGTTTGTTTGTTTGTTTTTGATATGCAACGAGGAAATTATACTTTAGAGACTAGTGCTTGTTATTTTCCTCACAACGAAACTCTTGAAAGTTGGCATTTACTTTTAGGAAACAAAGACCCTGTTCCACTCAGCTAGTCGATAGACAAACCAGGATAGAACTATGTTGGGAACCCACATCTTCAGCTTCCTATTGCAGCGTATGTTCTATTACATAAGAAAAATAGACAATAGAGGATAAGTAGGACGCTAAAGAAGCGAGGAGAGAATCCAATGTTTCTAGAATCCAGTGTTTCTAAGGAGCTTCATTTTATTTTCCCAAAGTCTGGAGATTATTTGGCAAAGTGTGACGATGCTATGCAGCTCTTTAGAAATTTGTAATTACTCATCTAACATGTACCTAGCTTGGATCTGCAAACTGCTGTGGAAATTTCTAGCAAGTGTAGGAAGAAGCCAGATCAACATTTCTTAGAACGTTTCAGGTCCTGAATGAGCCTCTTGCAGTTTATCAGGACATAAATTCTCAAGAGGTTCTGAGTAGCCACATAACTTAGGGAAGTTGTCATTATTTATCTGCTGCTTTGAGAAACAAGACACTGACTGTGGGCCAATGTGCTAAGAAAAAATTTTACCCAAAAATGTAAATAATGCAGAAGTGCAATATGCCTTTGCTCTTTCTTATAAATATAAGAAAATATTTTCATTAAAACAACCAAAAAATAGGCAAGATTTGTCCAACACCTTTAGAATGAGAGTAACGTGACAGTGCTTCACATGGGGAAAAGTGAAGCTGAATGAGATGAAATTTAGAAACAGAAATGGTCAGGAAAAAACAACAATTCAAAAAGCAAACAAAAGTATTATATGACTGAGAAACCCAAGGCTAAAATAAGAAATTAAGCTAATTTCTTAGGTATCTACTGATTCGTTTCAAGACAAGTCTGGCTTCAGTTTGGGAAGAGCCAAACAGTGGAATTAGCTAAATTTGCTTATGTTTTAAAATCCCCTCAATTTCTTCCCCAAATTCGAGTTTCCCTTTGTACTTCTCACATTACAATATAGAACATTTACTGAACAAAGACCAATTTGGACTAAAATGATATTAGGTTTTGATGATCTACCTATTTTTAGCCTAAGGACTAAGTGGTTTTCTGAATTCACATTCTCATCATTTTAATGAAAATGAGGCAATATGCTGAAATGGTATTTTTTTTAGATTGTATTAAGGTTTATATACCTAGATTTTTCGCATACACTGTGTCATATACTTTTCCTCTAAATCCAATATATTATGAACACACGGATAATGTTTTTACTGCTAACAGCATGCTGCAGGTTTAAAAATTTAGTTTCTTGACCTTTTTCAATTTATTCCAACACTAATAGCAGCATAGTTGTAATGACAGAACTTGACTAAATGCATTAATATACAGTTTTATTATCCAAGAGTTTGGATTTGCACATCCTCACTGTATGTTTATATTACAATATCAAAGACTGAAGACTGCCTTAATAAAACATTTCAAAAACAATGAGTGTCCATTGCTGTGCAACCGTGAAGACACTACTCTGTCTACACAAATCTATTTTTGATGACTATATAAAATAGCTCAATTTAGACACTACATGCCTCAGCATAGTGGTATATTATATTTTTAAAGAGGGGGCTTAATTTAGCAGTATTTCGCATGGGACAATACAAGTTTGATCAAATTTCTTAAGGCCTAACAGGTTGCTTAAAGAAAACTTAGACACAGAAAAAATATCTGACTTGATAAATACCGTCTCTCACAAATGTGACAAACTCTGAATAAATTCTAGCTTTAAAGGAAGTAGGTCAGCCACAAACAGACCTTTTTGTTTCGTATAAGAAGATACTTTCAGATGGCCAGCAAGTGTTTCTAGATATATCCCGTTATTATGCAAAGCTCTCATCTGCTGCTGGACGACTTTAGACACTCATTAAAAACAAACTTTTATCATATATGACCCAATAACTGATTAAGATCTATTCATAAGGGCTTGGATCACATTCTGGCTACATTCTTAAGCATTTTCCATCTTCATGTATCATGATTATGTTGTAAATATCTAATATAATGCATGCTTATCATTAGGATTATTTACCTCTGGATATCATTCCTGGCCTCAAGCCATCCCTCTGAAACCCTGGTTCAAATATTCCCCTGGAAATGACCAAATTCTCAAGTGACAAGTCCAAGTAGATTTCTTGCACTAGACTTGTCAGTGTTCATATTTATACCACCAGTGTATATTTGATAAATACATGATTAAATGTTTTGATTACTTTATTAGTGAATGAATTTGTGAATTTTGGTGTATTCCAAAGTGTGCTCAATAGAAGTCTAGTCCTGGGAGATGCACTGCAATAAAAGATACTATGGTGAAATTTTGGGAACTGATGCATGTTCCTGTCCCTTTCTGGAAAAATCTCAATGTATCTGAGGATACTAAAGACTCTCTGAAGTACTGAAAGTAGAGAAACACATTCCACTTTTATACCCAGTGTGTTCCAAATTTACCTGACCATGGCGATGGGCATCATTGTAACCATACTGTACACATACCTGATGAATAATCATTAAAAGATAACTCTCTCCAAGTTAAAGATTATCTTATTCACTACAAAAGAACCAAATGTTTAAGGTACCATATAGTTTTCTAACACTTGAAATTATTCAAGATTTTATTATAATTTTAAAAATATTTTCATTCAATTAAAAATGAAATTATATATATATAATTAAAATTATTTTATAAAATAGGGCGACAGCAAACTACCCACATTGGCCTCATCTTTAGAAGCCATTGAAAAAAATCAATTCAATTTTAAAAGCCTGTATAGAATATTTTAACTTTATAAAAATAATAATGAATTTTTAAAAATATATTTAAGAGTCAATCGTTATACCATTTGGTTATCAGTTCCAAAAAGCAAGGCATACATGAACATTCCAATTTCCTAAATTTTTATCCAAAATGCATCTTTTTTAAAAAGAAAACTATTCCACATACTTTATACATAATCATCCTAAAGAGCAATGGCACAAATAGCAGTATGATATGCTTTTGGTTTTTTTTGAGGCTTAGTGTTCTAAGTTTTAACAATGATGATATTATAAATTACTGAAAAAAATGAACTTCATAGCTGAGATGCTGACATAATTCTAATCACATTAGTAATACTTTTGCTATAATCCATGACACTAGAAAGATGTAAAAATGTAATTTCTAAATTTTAGAACAGTTGGCCTTCAAGCTATCTATGAGAGGAGTCGACACCAATTTTGTTGACTTGACCTGACTTTAACAGCAGGTAAAGTTATCCCCATAGTGCTACTGCTGTCTGTACACAGTAAAAATTTCTGTAAAAACATATCTCATCACTCTGAAACCTTAATTGCGAGTCAATGTCTTCTATTACAAAAAACCGTGTGTGTGTGTGTATGTGCATGTGTGCATGTGAAACAGAAATAAGCGTTTGATGACATACTATAGTTTTCTTATGTTAAACTTTTTTTTATTATAGTAACATACGGGAGTAATTGAAATAACTTCACCATACAGATAATCACATGCTAGAGCATGACAATGCAACGCTAATTGCACACTGTATTGACATTTCAAGCACATTTTCTGTAACAGCATTTGCATTCATATACAGGTAGTAAAGCACATGGGGATAATTTGAGTCATGATTTATGTTAGCAAATGTATTGCTTTCAAGCTAATCCTCACACCCAGAATCTTCAGCAAATCCAATAATATTCAGATGTTTTAGCATGTACAGTGGTTATTGTATGAACCGAATAGATCAGGACCAAGAATTGCTGTTAGCCTTTGAAACAGAAATATCAGTGTTATCTCATTTTTTTTGTAGGGCAAGCCTTCTTACTAATTGAGGAACTATCTGGTCCATTAATTATAGTTCTACTTAGATAATACAGCACAGTTAATGTAGCATGTGTAACTTGAATAATTTTTCCTCAATATACTATATACCCATTTATGACAAGGCCCGAAAAGGACCAAAAAATGGCAGCAATCTCAAAATGTGCAGTAAATTTTAATACACCAGTTTTGGTTGCAAGACTTAACTTGTAGCCATGTATCTGGCTTTATATGGATCCAGACAATTAATGCATTTTTAGGCATAGAGACTTCAACCTGGTTCTTAAAAAAAATCTCAGCAGACAAACTGAACTTGATGCAACAACATATTTTATCTATGTTTTATTATTGCTGAGGCAAAACCACACCATAAAATGCAAGGAAAACCGATGTCTAAAAGGCAGGATTTCTCTTTTCTTGGCTTTGTTAATACAAAGGTCAAAATTTCACCTTTGAACTAAAAAAGAAGAAATAAATAGAGAATAAGCAGTGTAAGTAACAAAATTGTCATCATGAATATATTTCTAAATTTTTATTTATTTATAAGTCAACGTTAGCCCAAAATAGTTAGATAACCAATACGGTCCTTGAAAATTTAAATTTCTTAATTTAAAGAGAAAAGCAGATTTTCAAAAAATCATCAGGTTGCAGGAACACAATTAATTGTACAGTTATACATTTCATTGTTTAACCCCTAGGACCATGTAAACTAAGACTCAAAGTTTAAATTAACATCACAGAACAGAAAAGGAAAGTTTTCTGTCACTCTTGAGGTATTTACTATTTTTTTAAATAATATATAAGAATGAATCAATGTTTTATAGAAAAATCAAATAATGGCATTTCTGCAGCTATCAATCATTGATACTTTTAA